ATGACAGTTGCACAACTGTGTGGGTATACCAAGAACTGCTGAACTGTATACATTAAAATGGTAAAGTTTATGGCACATGCAAGTTACGGAAACAGCCAAGATGCCCCAGCACTGACGAATGGATTAAGAATATGTGGTATCTATACACAATGGAATTTTATGCAGCCATGAAGAAGAACGAAATGTTATCATTCGCTGGTAAATGGATGGAATTGGAGAACATCATTCTGAGTGAGGTTAGCCTGGCCCAAAAAACCAAAAATCGTATGTTCTCCCTCATATGTGGACATTAGATCAAGGGCAAACACAACAAGGGGATTGGACTATGAGCACATGATAAAAGCGAGAGCACACAAGGAAGGGGTGAGGATAGGTAAGACACCTAAAAAACTAGCTAGCATTTGTTGCCCTTAACGCAGAGAAACTAAAGCAGATACCTTAAAGCAACTGAGGCCAATAAGAAAAGGGGAACAGGCACTAGAGAAAAGGTTAGATCAAAAAGAATTAACCTAGAAGGTAACACCCACGCACAGGAAATCAATGTGAGTCAATGCCCTGTATAGCTATCCTTATCTCAACCAGCAAAAACCCTTGTTCCTTCCTATTATTGCTTATACTCTCTCTACAACAAAATTAGAAATAAGGGCAAAATAGTTTCTGCTGGGTATTGAGGGGGGGGGAGAGGGAGGGGGCAGAGTGGGTGGTAAGGGAGGGGGTGGGGGCAGGGGGGAGAAATGAACCAAGCCTTGTATGCACATATGAATAATAAAAGAAAAATGAAAAAAAAAGTTTATGGCACATGAATTGTATCATATTTTAAAAACAGACTAAAACATATGCCCACCAGATGGAAGCACATTACCCTGTAAGGGTTGTGCATTTGGTTCCACAAGAACAGTAACTACATGAATGCTTTTTAAAACTTCAAAAAGTGTATCTCTAGCTGTTTAGAAAAATTATTAATATATTTTTTATTTTAACTGAATTAAAGTTGGCAGTATTGGAGTTTGAACTCAGGGCTTCCTACTTGCAAGGCAGGTGGCTCTACCACCTGAGCCACCACTCCAGCCTGAGAAAAATTATTAATGGAACTAATACTCAGGGCCTTTAGATTTTGTAAAGACTTTAAAGGTCATTAAAGATTTCACTTTTGTGAGTGTGGTGATGCACACCTGTAATCTCAGCATGGTGGAGACAGGATTGAGTTTGAGGCTGAGTTAGGCTACATAACATAGCCTAATCCTGTCTCAAAACAAAACAAAATCAATGTTAGAAAATCACACAATATAAGTAATATAGGAGAATATTTAGAGAATTCTATGAATTAAACAATGTGGGAAGACCAATACATGGGGAAGTTATTTTTGAGTGTATAAGGTTTCTTCATGAGAAACACAATGCAACACATTGAAAACTAAATAACAAGATTTTATTAACATACTAATGATGATCAGAAAATTTGCAGTTTGAGAAAAGTATAAATATAAGAAACATATTAAGGTTTTTTCTCTTTTTGGCAGTACTGGCATTCAAACTCAGTCTGGTACAAGCACTTTTTTTTTTTTTTTTTTTGGTACTGGAGCTTAAGTCAGGGGCTACACCTCAAGCCACTCCACCAGCCCTTTTTTTGGTGTATGATGGTTTTTTTGAGATAGGGTGTTGCTAAATATTTGCCTAGGCTGGCTTCAAACTGCAGTCCTCCTGATCTCTGTCTCCTGAGTAGCTAGGATTACAGGCATGTGACACCAGTGCCCGGCTCTGGCTTGTTTTTTGAGATAGTCTTGCTAACTTTTTGCCCAGGCTAGTTTCAAACCACAATTCTCCTATCTTCACCTCCCAAGTAGCTGGGATTACAGAAATGAGTCACTGCACCAAGCCCATATTACAGTCTTTATGAGAATATTATTGTCTTAGTACAAGAAAATTTTAATGTACTGAATTTGCATACCAACTTTAATTCTACTTGATAAGTATTAGGTGTTCATACTGGAAAAGTCTGTGAATTACCAAAATTGTTTTCTTATCATGAACACTAACTCAACCTAAGTTATTTCATGTCATTTATGTTATTTTGATCAATATAAAATGGCTCCTGGTACTATTTAATTCTTCTTACATTAGTTAAATTCATGCTAGAAAATAAACTGTTAGTGTAATAAATGTGAGAATGGAAATTCTAATCAATTGTCTATTCAATATTTAGTTTGTGAAATTTTTCACTATTATAAAAGAATAATATGTCTATCCTTTTTATGTAAGCAGAATTTTTTCCTAAGGCGTATATAATATATAAATAGCCATTCATTTAGACACAGGTGAATATAAATGGTTTTCTTATTCCATTACAATAAAACATACGTTTGCTGACATTACAAATATTTAATGTGTGTGTTTCATTACCATTGTGTTGGGTTCCAGACACTATACAAAACTGTTCTATAATAAATTGCCTTTAATACAGCATTTCCGTCAGTTCCTCCATGTATTTTTGCACAATGATTTACATTGCACTCTGATTTTCACTGAGTAACTCTTCACCTTTTACATATTACTAAAACTCTCGGATGCTCAAGGATCTTCAGATGCTTATATAAAATGGCAAAGTATTTGCATATAACCTACACACATCCTCCATATACTTTAAATCATTTCTAGACTACTTGTAATGCTTAATACAATGCACATGCTAGGTTATCCTTACACTTACTGATTCATCTGTTTTTGAGAGCTTGTTTGGAGGTTCTAGCAGGGGAGTGCAGCTGCTCACGTTTGACTGAAGAACAGTCCTCCTCTGTTGGGGATGGTCGTCCTCTTCCACCCAGCGTGCAGCTTCAGGAGGGACGCACATAGAGCGGTGAGGGAGGAAGGGGACATCAGCCAAATCAACTCTGGTGAACAATGGGGTAACAGATGTTGCAGACAGATCTCCCTCATATCCTAATTCATCTGTTTTAGGATGCAGAATTTTTCTTTCTTTGAACTTGACAATATCTTTGTTGAAGGCTAGGTAGCATTTTTGTGTTTTGTAAGGGTAGTAGGTATCTGTTAGGTTGACGCTGATGGGAAGGCCAAATTGGAGCCAAATAACAAAGCAAGCAGGCTTTATTGAGAGTGCGCTCTTGGGCGAGGTTCACCGTCCCCAAAGAGCAGGGCTGGAGAAGTCACGCTGGAGAAATGGCAGCCCAGTTTTTATATCCTGGGTGAAGTTAAGAGCTTAAGGTATTATGGGGCATCGGGATAGGTCGAGGTTTGGTGGGGAGGAGCTCTGGGTAATATGGATCTGTAGGAGAGATCAGGACCCATTGCCTGCCAGCAGGAGTTGCCATGGTAATCATGAAGGGAAGGAGGGGATGGAGTGGAAAGTGAGCAGAGAGTCCCTGATCACCCTGGGGTGGCTGCCCATGGGCCAAACAGTATCCATTTGTTTTTCTCCTGCATTCTTTGTCTTGTTCCTTACTTGGAGGAGTGAAAAAAAAATAGGAATGATTTCCTCATCTTGTAAAATGTGTAAAGGGAATAGTGGACACGACAAATAATAGGTAGCATTGAATTAATGTCTAAATAAAGGCTTAGGACACCATTTTATGGAACAGTACTAGAGTCTGAACTCAGGGCCTCATGCTTGCTGGGCAGATGTTCAACCCTGTCATCCAGAAAGTGTAATTTTACCTCTTTCCAATTCTTACACTATCTTACCTATTTGAAACAGTCATAATTCTGCAAGCAGATGACATATACTAGACACGTAAGAGTTTCTCAGTTGTTCATTAGTATCACAGAGTGACCCCCTTTCAGTCTTCATAGAATGTTGAAATAAAACTGATAACTAACAGTGAGCAGTTACCTGTGATCTCACTCCACAAAACACAGTCCCATGGCTCCTTCATGACATAACTCCGCTGAACCCAGCTCACAATTCCAGACAACGCAAATTTGGAAACCACTCAGTTACAGCCCCAAACACGAACCCCTCGCCACCAATCGTCCTAAAATTAGGGTTCATTAGCTTCTTAGAAAGTTAAGCTTACCAGTTACCCTGAAGAAATGAAGACACAACAGCTTTATTTTTCTTAATATTTAAAAGTCTGGAAATATGCCAAATGTCATCGAGAAAAACGAATGAAGAAATTATGGTATATATACACTATGCACACTGAGGCCGTGCTGGACAAAAACCTTCAAAACCCTCCGGTGACCCTCAGGTTCTCAGCTACGGACCACAATCTGGAGCTGTGAGCGCAGCAAAACCTCCTGGGCCGGAAGTCCAGCTTCCTGCTCGCAGGGTCCGCGACTCCCTGCGAGCTCTTTATTGGGTTGGGGCGGGTGGGGGCATCCAGGCTTCCGGTTCCCTTCACTCCCGGCCTGGGCTTCCGGTTTCCTGACCGCTCTCTGCCTGGGCTTCCGATAACTTTCTCTGTCCTAACTTCGCTCGCGTTGTCAGACACAACCGTTTGTGTGGAGTCCGCCGAGGATGTGCGGATTGCACTAGAAAAGCAGACGCTTTTCGCGTTGGACTACGTTTCCCATAGGCCATTGGGTCACGAAGGGACGTACAGCGTTCCTTCTCCTTCTGGGTGTGGTGCTGCTTTACGTCCGGGTGAGAACAGAGGAAGAACTTGGGGAGGGTTCCGCGCTGTCCCGGCGCGGATTGACACGGAGGAGTCAATCCAGCGGATGTATGCGTGAGGTGCGGAAGAAGATGAGAGTTAGTGCTGTTGTTCGTCACGGTGTGGTGGGGGGCGTTTATGTGTAGGAGGCCGGGAGTAGGGGCTGAGTGTGAGCGCTGGAAGGTCCTGCAGCGTGCCGTGTCGCTGGGCGGGGCCTATTGTGTCACCTTGGTCTAGAGTGACCGTGTGTTTGACACACTGTGACCGTCTGACCAACACTAAGTCAGAATTTTTTTTCAATGAGCCTCATTTCCTCATTTCTCTGGTTATAAAATTTAGTTTCCGTGCATATCAGTGCCTATGAAGATTCCGATGCTGGTTAACCAAAGTCAGCCCAGGCACAGAAGCTGCGTTGTTGTCATCTGGGCACTTTGTCCTTACTACGCAGTCTAGTGCTTAAAACAAGAGAGGGCATTGATGGAGTGAGTATGTTCACATATGAATATGTTACCCTGGATTCTCTTCTGTCATTACATCCTATAGCCAGCTGGATCCAGCGGTGGAGAAATAGTCATCAGAGGGAAGTCATGAATTTCAATCCCCACCCCCGGTGAAATCTCCAAACAGGAAAATACATTCTGAGTTATGGACTGAGAATTGCACTTGCCTCCCAGATGGGCTTCTGCGAAGGTATGAAGAGGAGGGCCTTGGCAGAAGAATTCTCCCCGGGAGAAGACTTCTTGAATGCACTTTGAATCCACTGTACACATTTCAGAACCACAATATTCCCTGAACTGTGCCCTCTAGAACCTCCTGTGAACTTTGAGTCCAGCTCTAGGCATTGATGATACTGGGAAGAGCCAGCAGTTTACTGGTTTCCCCCTTCCGTCTGATGTGTTGTGTATCATGGGACTTGTCTAGCTGTGGACATTATTCTTATTTAGCTAGCAGGTCCAGGATCTTATGATCCCTTCTTCTTGGGCCTGGAGTTCTGCAAGAGAAGGCTCTGGAAGTGGAAGGGAACTTTGCTAATTAATGAATGGCCAACTCAAGGTCAGTTTGTGTTTATTTTTTTCTGTGAAATACTTTTTTGTGTGTACAGCTGGAGATTGAACACAGGGTCTTGTACATGCTATTAAAATAATCTTTGGTTTTGCAGAACAGGTTACTTGTTTTCCTTCTCCTAAATTGCTCTAATTGTGACCTATCTCTGGGCCCTGGTCTCTGGGCCTTTCCTTTCCAATTAATAACAACCGCAGAGATGGTCCCCTTCTTCTCTCACTCAATGGGTTAATCATTCAGTTTGCTCTGTGCTCTTTTCTCCCCAAAAGATTCTGATGCTACATAGATATAACTCCTGGGGGATAAGTTAAAAATTTATTTTAGAGTGTGATTTGTCAGGGAAGAGACCAGTAGTTAGGTAAAATCACACAATGGATACATTTGATCTTAAGTACAGACCTGATTTTCAAGCAAAGCAAGGTAGGAGAGGAAATGGTTTGATTGATTTAAGTAAGTGATAAAGTTGTTTTTATGCAGTCCAGCATAGTGCTGTTCAGGGGTAATCCCAGCTACTTGGGAGGCTGAGGAGGAAGATCACTTGAATTCAGGAGTTAGAGGACAGTCTGGACAACATAGAAAGACCCCATCTCAAAATGAAAAGCTGATTTTAAAGACCTTTTTAAAAATTATTTTTAATTGACACATAATAATTGTATATATTTGTGGGATACAATGTTTATTTCGTTACATTATACAATGTGTAATGATTAAATCAAGATAATTAGCATATCACTTTATCATTTATTTGTATTGGGACATTGAAAATCTTTTTTCAGCTATTTAAAAATATGTAAAGGGGCAGGAAGTGTGGCACAAGTGGTAGAGTGACTGCCTAATAAGCATCAAGCCCTGAGTTCAAACCCTAGTATTGTCATACATATATAATAAATACTTATATAAATGTTAACTATAGTGACCCTATTGTCTTTGAATACTAGAACCTCCCATCTCTCTGTATTCTTGTACCCAATAACAATCCTTTGTCCCACTTCCTTCCTACTCTTCCCACCCTCCATTAACCACTACTCTGCTCTCTATGGGTACAAGGTCAACTTTTTTGACATCCACATAGGAGTGAGAACATGGAGAACATGTCTTTCTGTGCCTGCCTTGCTTTATTCCAGTTCTGTCCCTATTCCATCAAGTTGCTACAGATGATGGGGTTTCATTTTTTTTAGTAGTAGTACTAAGATTAGAACTCAGGGTTTTGCACTTGCTAGATAGATACTCTACCCCTTGAGCCACACCTCTGGCCCAAGGGTTTCAATTCCTTGTTTACGGTATCTGTATGCCAAAGAGGTGAGTAGTTACTGATTTTTCTGTCTTATGGTTTCTTTTAGATAATAATCATATCAGAGCCTTAGGGTTTTGCATGTAGTTTGGATACATTAAGATGGGCATAGTCCTAGAGCACTTTATAAGGGACTGGCACTTAATAGGTCCTTATTCTCAAGGAGAGGGGTAATGCTGTTACCTGAAGATTCTAAATATTTCTCACAAGATTTCAACCTACCTTTGGCTCACCTCTTTCACTAAGTCCCACCTATCAGGATGCTTTGCTATCCTTTCAGTAAACTTTGTGTTTGCTTTACTCTTAACTCCTGGTTGAGCGTCTTTAATCATCGACTTCTCCGGGACACCAACTTGGGATCAACAATCCAGTATAGGTAAGATATAGAAATGTTACTCTCAGGGACTGACAGAGTGGCTCAAGTGGTAGAGTGCCTGCCTAGCAAGCATGAGGCCCTGAGTTCAAACCCCAGTACCAGCAAAAAAAAAGGAACTGTTACTTCCAGAATGAAGAGCTAGCTCAGTGTACATTTGGAAAGGCCCTGGGTTCAGTCCTCAGCAATTAAAAAAAGAAAGAAAGAAATGTCAGGGCTGGCCAAAGTGGCTCAAGTGGTAAGAGTGCCTGCCTAGCAAGCATGAGGCCCTGAGTTCAAACCCCAGTGCCAAGAAAAAAGAAAAGTGGTAAAAAGAAATGTTATTCCCATATAACTATTCCCCTTTGTCCCTTTTTGTGGTAATATCATTCATGTTATAAGTAAATGTTTCATCTGGGTGCCAGTGGCTCATACCTATAATCCTAGCTACTTGGGAGGCTGAGGATTAGGAGAATTGTGGTTCGAGGCCAGCCTGAGCAAATAGTTTGAGAGAGCACCATCTCCAGAATAACCAGAGCAAAAGGATCTGGAAGTATGGCTCAAGTGGTAGGATGCCTGCTTTGCAAGTTGTGAAGCCCTGAGTTCAAACCCCAATCCCACCAAAAAAAGACCAAGTAAATGTTTCAAATAGTCATTCTCATAATTTTTACTTTATATGTTTACGTTTTTATTAAAATCTATGAGATAGACAATGTATAGGTTTACAGCTTTTATTATATTTCTTATTTCTAGTTCCCTTCATTTGATCCTTTGGATTTGAGTTACCAACCAGATACATTTCTTTAGCCCAATACAACTTTGCTTCATCCACTTCCTTTTGTTATTATTAGCAAATATATTGCATTTATTTATACATGCATATATACATTACTTTATATATTACATGCCATGGGCCCTATTGTATGTTTGTTTCATAAAATTGAAGGAGAAAGGGGTATACAGAATTTAACTACATAATTTTGGGGGTTGCTGAGGATTGAACCCAAGGTCTCGTACATGAGCATTCATTACTACTGAGCAATACTCCCAGCCGCTATGATTGCTTCTAATGATGCATTTATCCTCCTTATTCCCATTTAGTTTCTGGATATGTAGACTAATATTTTTTTCAATAAATAATGGGAAATTTTCACCCACTATTTCTTTGAAATTTTTTTTATTGCTTTTCTCTTGTTTGGTACTACTAAGGTTAAAATAGGAAAAGTTTGGGACTTCTAGTACATACATGACTTAACATTGTATTTCACGTTGAAAAGTCTTCTCTCTCTGAGCCTTCTTTTTCATTGCAAATGTGCGTATGTTATTCACACTGAAGCCCAGGGACAACTCAAACCATCCCAGCTCAGCCCAGGGACATCCCATCCCCCTCCCCACTCATCAATCATCAGTGGTTGGGAATCTCCAGGTCTTTCTCTTCCCATAGGTTAGTATGGTTTTTAGAGCACCTGGAAAGAGGTAGACACTCTGCTTCCAGCTTCCACCTGGCCCCAACGTGGCCAGGAGTTTTTAAAACTCCTTTCCTTAATCTTTGATAAACTCCATCACCTCCCTCACTACACCCACATGTCCTGCCTGGGAATCTTCTGAGCAGAGACTACACGAGCTTACAACACTACTACTACAAATATGTTTATGTGCTTAATGGTGTTGCAGTTGTCTCTAAGGTTCTGTATTTCTATTGAGTCCCTTTAGTGAAATTTTCATTTCAGTTATACTTTTTTTAAAATTTTCATAATTTTTTATTATTATTGCTGTGGTGAGTTATTATATTTTTCAATTCCAGAATTTTCAGCTGGTTATTTTTAATAATTTCTTTCTCTTTTTTGCTTATTTTCTATTCAATGCAACATTGTGTTCATACTTCATTAAGCATGGTTACTTTATTTGAGCCATAATGACTACTTGGAAGTTTTTGCCTGTCAAACCCACTTGCTTTCACAAGCAGACTATGTTTCCTGCTTTTTTTTTTTTTTCCCATTTCCAGTACATGGGTTATATTTCCTGGTTTCTTTGCCTGTTTCTCTGGTTTTTTTTTTTTTTTTTTTTTTTTGGTGTGGAAATTGGACATTTTTGACAATTATTGCAGTTCTACTTTTGTCCCCACCCCTTTGTCCCAGGTTGTTACTGCTATTTTTCGTATAGATTTGTTTAATGACTGGCTAGCTTATGTTTGTAAAGTCTATCCCCACCATAGAATTAAACCTCTGATATTAAAACTGGTTGGTCGATCCTGAGTTCGTGTCCTGGCGAAGTCGATGATTGAAGATGCTGGACCCGGAGTTAAGAGTAAAGCAAAAACAAAGTTTATTGAAAGGTTAGTGAATCACCCTGACAAGTAGGACTTAATGCAAAAGCTAAGCCAAAGAATAACTGAAGTCTTAGGGATAATATATGACTTTGTATGACTTAGGCTCCCCCTATTCCACCAGGAAACTACATTTGTGATTGGATGCCATCTAGTTGACTTCTAACTGAACCTGACCATCTGTCCACTCACCATCCTTATCAAACCCGACATTCCAAGAGGACCTGGTCAGCTGGTCCTGGCCTTGAAGCTCATCATTTACACTTCATAGCTACCTTTTGCTCTTGGCAGGAGTTTGCTGTGTTACTTTTCTTGAAGAGTCTATTTCTCATCTCTTTGGATGTTTGTTTTCAAAGATGCTTTCCTGTCTCCCTTATCTAGAAGAAAGACTGCTGTATTTTATTTTCTTGTTGAGAGTCCTGCTCCTTAGTTTCCTTAGATGTTTACTTTTAAGGATGACTTGCTGTCTTTCTTCTCTAAGACAATGTTACTTTTTAAAAAAATTTTTTTTTCTTTTATTATTCATATGTGCATACAAGGCTTGGGTCATTTCTCCCCCTGCCCCCACCCCCTCCCTTACCACCTACTCCACCCCCTCCCTCTCCCCCCAGCCCCCTCAATACCCAGCAGAAACTATTTTGCCCTTATTTCTAATTTTGTTGTAGAGAGAGTATAAGCAATAATAGGAAGGAACAAGGGTTTTTGCTGGTTGAGATAAGGATAGCTATACAGGGCATTGACTCACATTGATTTCCTTCTAGGTTAATTCTTTTTGATCTAACCTTTTCTCTAGTTCCTGTTCCCCTTTTCCTATTGGCCTCAGTTGCTTTTAAGGTATCTGCTTTAGTTTCTCTGCGTTAAGGGCAACAAATGCTAGCTAATTTTTTAGGTGTCTTACCTATCCTCACCCCTCCCTTGTGTGCTCTCGCTTTATCATGTGATCAAAGTCCAATCCCATTGTTGTGTTTGCCCTTGATCTAATGTCCACATATGAGGGAGAACATACGATTTTTGGTCTTTTG